CCCCCAACTCCGCAAAAGGAAGGGAGTCGACTCTCTCCCGTCGCGTCTCGTTCCACATGCATAATTGAGGTTTTCTGTCCCGTTCACTCCGCGTACTCTTTTCTCCTTCTCGTCCTTAATCCCACTTCCCATTTCGGTCTCCTCTTTCACATGTGATGCTGTGGTGGCAATGAGGTCAGTGGCATAAAAGTGCATTTCCACCTATTCTCCCACTTACTACTAGTCGTTTATTCTCCATGAGGGAGGGGGGGGATAGAATTGTCACACTCACCCCCTAAAGTTCTCATCCTCCTCATTGGCAGTGTCTTGAGTCACATGAGAATGGAAGGATTGGAGCACATGACTTCATGCTCTATTCCAATCTTGAAGTTCACCGTGATGGTTGTTTAATGGGGTGATAGTTATTCATCGGACTTGTCTGTCTCATTCTGATCTGGTAACTATTATACCCATATTAGAGTTATGTGCAGGTCAATTTTGCCACTTGAAGGTGTTTGAGGGTGTTTGTCTACTTGCTATTATTATTTAAATGGACAGAGGAGTGAGAGAAACCACATAGCATAGTTGTTGACGCGCTTGGTACCCGTTGAAGCACACCCAATGAGTGAAATGGCTAACCGCATTTGTTGTTGAAAGGGGTGGAAGAATTCCAATTACTCATCCGGAGTGAATTCAGTTTAATTTAAACGGGTTAATTGAAAACAAATAATTACTAAGATCTCCACCCACTTGCCGTGAAATGAAGATTTTAAGAATAAAGAGCTTTGTAGAAATCTTGCTTCCTGGACTAAACCCCCCCCCCCCAATGCCCCACGCTCCACCTTCCTTCCCTTCCTATATTGATAGCAATGTACCCTCCCCAACCAAAAATAACCAATCATAGCTTTGACACGATCTTTTGTTTAAATGGAATAAATAATTTAAAATATTAATGTTAGGTGTGACCACACCTCTACCGGGAAACACTTTATTGATCAAAATTATAAGAAAGTTGAGGCCTAATTAGCCCCTACTCACCACCTTTTCTATAATCTGATTAGTAAATTTCACCTAACACCATATATTCTAGTCCATTGACTAGATCTAAAAATGTTGTTTCTTGGTTTCTTGTTAGAAGTCTAATTACCTGCAAGGGGCTCACTTTTTTCTCATACTGCACCCGACAAATTAACACTCTTATTTTTAGGTACATCAAAGTAAGCGTTTTTAGGCAGTGGTGTTGAGTATTAACTGGAATATATTTATTTATTTATTTCAAATGGCAGGCGTTTTGATAGTTAAAATTAGCCCTTAAGCTAACTTCGGGCTTCACGGGGGGAAGGAACATCAAAGTAACAGAAAGTCGAGGGATGGGGAACAGAAGAGTGGCTTACAGTTGTAAAAGAGACAGACACAAAGGCAGAGAAAAGGTAGGATGATTACTGTGGAAGTGCTAGAATATGGCAACCAGTGGGGTCATGATAGTTTGAACTCAGAAGTCAACTGCCAGTTAGTAGACTTCTTTGCCGCATGCAGTCAGAAGTCAACTGCCGGTTTATAGACTTTTTTGCCGTTTGAGTAGTCAGAAGTCAACTGCCGGTTAATAGACTTTTTTGTGAAGTGAGAAGTCAACTGCCAGTTAATAGACCTTTTTGCGTTGAAGTCAGAAGTCAACTGCCGGTTAATAGAATTTTTTTGCCGATAGTGAGAAGTCAACTGCCGGTTTATAGACTTTTTTGCCGCACAGTGGAAGTGCTAGAATATGGCAACCAGTGGGGTCATGATAGTTTGAACTCAGAAGTCAACTGCCAGTTAGTAGACTTCTTTGCCGCATGAGTATACGTTGCCCAGGGTGCACCACGTGGGGGTAAGTCTATCGCACACCCCATCAACTTGAATATAAGGTCAATGCCTCATAGATGCTATAGACTGATGAAATTAATTTGTTTGAGAGAGAGAGTGAGTGAGTGAGACCTCCTGTCACGTTAGATATTCGCGTTTCTGCACTCGTCTTGTTGAAGGTGCAGTATCATGGAGACCCTAGAGTTGGAAACTCGAATTTGGTCGCCCCATTTCTTCATCAGTCTGGCTTAGCCAGCGCTTCTTTGTTCCTCCTGATGTGGAAGGAAATTGCGTTTCCTAACTTTTCACAGCGGTTACTCCGACGCCATTATCATTCAGTGAAATTAAAGGCAACCAATCGAGATAATGGAATAGAAATTTCTAGATGAATTTAGGGAAGCTATTTTTGGCAATTGGAATCCATTGGATGCAGATATATTTTAGAGCATTACGATTTCCCCCCTCCCCTTCCTTTTTGTAGAATTCAATTCGGCACAACCTCTCTCTCCACGACAAGTTCGTAAAGTGCCCCAAAGCTTCGGAGAGTTCTAAATCCTCATACTGGCGATTGAATGCCAATTCCTTGAACCGTCCCTACGTCCGTCGACGCACCTGCTCTCTAGACACTCCCGGAAATGGCGGAAATGGCTCTGTTGGAGGCAAAAAGGCCAAATCCCGTCTGGGTGGCAGTGGTGCGGCTCAGTTGGGCAGTTCCGGGCCTAATGCCGTGTCAGCAGGCAAACGGAGTGCTGCTCAAATGGGCGGGAGAGATCTGAAGGCAGGAATGTATGGTGATGACCTCTCGGCGGCCGCTGTGCGCTCCCACTTGAATAATCTCCCGTCGGGAATTGCCAGCGCCTTCAGCATTCCGGGAAGTGCTGGAGGGGGTGCGACTGGACTCAAAGGTGACCCTTCTGGGGGATTGAATCATCACCACAATCCTTGGGCCAATTCCGGGTTTCTGACCGATAGGAAAATGGCCAATGATGAATTAAGTGCACTTTGGTAAGGAAATAGACTACTCACGAAAAATTGACAGTTGTGTTTGATCTCACCAATCAGAAATGCGAATCTATCCATCTATCTATCGAGCTTTATTGAGCCGATGTACGTCCCTTTAATTGGCTTTAGAAGAAGGAATGCCCTCAAGAAACCAGTTTATTAAGACATCCCTATAAAACACAGAGTGGTTTTTTTCATTTGAATTATTTCAATTTCATTAGATGTGTGTGTGTATCAATGGAGTTTCGAATACTTGCAGTCTGTTTTTGAAAACAACTTTGCCTCCGGCAAATGAAAAGTTGTTATGTGTAGGCCTTTATTTGATCATGCCGATCAACTAAAACAAATTTCAAAGATGTGGAGAAACGGTTAATATTATTTACGATTGTCCAAAATTATCGGCAGTGTTACTTTGGGAAGCCAAGTATTCGTAAACAAAGATAGTGGTGTGGTGCATACTCAGATGAAGGTCGTGATGATCCACATTATCTGTTATCAAGGTCTAAACATGATCAGAGAAGAGAGTCCTAAATTTTTTCTAAAAAACTTCATTTAAAAGTTTGGGTACAAATTGCCTTCCAAATGAGCGGTGTAATTCCTAAGTAAGGTATTGGATTTATAAATCAGGTAATAATTTAAATGCTCACTTCCCAAAGGCTATTCTTGGAGAGGAAGGGACTTCGCAGGGACTTTCTGATGAAAGTCCCAAATTTTACCCCATTCTAGATTGCGATTTTACATTTTGCTACACGGATGTGCTCTAAAGCAATCGAACTCGTGATCCCCCCTGATAAGGTAGCTTTACATCCAAATTTGTGTTATTTAACCTTTCTCCATGATTATGACATTCTCTGATAACCACCCCCCTCCCCTACCCTCTCTCCATTTTGTAAAGAATAATTGATAATCTGATTTAATTTGAGCCCAATTTGGGGTATCTAAGTTACGAGGCAGGTAGAGAGGTTGTATTTGAATGAACGCGTTTGCAACTCACCGTCTTAAAAAAAAGTTGTTGAAAATTATTGAAAAGCTGGTATTTGTAACGATTAATACTCCCATTTTTTTCAATCCATTTTTAAGACTGGTTTAATTCGATTAAGAGGAGGACCGTCTAGTCCAGTCTTTGGTATAACCAAAACAAGCTTAAAAATTGTCTAGCAAGTACCATCACCAGGAAATTCTTAAGACTTCACTTAGTCCAATTTAAATTTAAACCCAAATTTAACCGAAAATAATTATTGTTTTCACTTATGTTGCCTTTTTATTAATGCCGATCAATTAAGCACAAAAAACGCCGCTTAAAAAGTGGAGTAATAGCGCAACAGTGAAAGTAAATACTTAAATGCGAAATAAGTAATATAATTAACCTAAGAATTGATAGACATTTGAAAACTACTAAATGAGCAGTTATCGCGCATCCATGAGGCCATAACGAATCAGAGGGTTTAATTTTATTGGAAAATGCAAAATGTAATGTGCTGTTGATCGACGTTTTCCGTTCACACTATCCCGTAATATCGCTCAAGATACCAATAAAAACAATTATCTTTTTAAATTTTATAATATCACTATATACTGAACTATTTGTAAGGCATCTTGACGCAATTTCGAAAGCTTGTGTATTTTTTGATACATTACTCTATCCCCATGAGATGCAATGGCTAATTCGAATAAAATATTACAACATCCGATAATTGAGGGTAGAGGAGGAGGGTTGGATAATTTAAATTCCATCCATTTAAGTAAAATCGTCACTAATTAAGTGATCAGCAAGCAATTTTGAGAATTTTCGCCTTTTTTGGGGGGATATTTAAGTTAAAATGTGGTTCTATATCACCCATTTAAACACACTTGTTGTAACAGTATAGATATTCACATCATAAATGTGTGCGTGTGTGTTTGAGCTTTCAATCAAACCGCTTAGCAGAGTAGGAAATAAGATGGTAATAGCCCACAAATGTCTGGATTCCCCATCTCCCCCCAGTAAACTTTTTATGCCTTTAAGTGGAATGCTTTATATTGGTTATTTAAATTTACAAAAAAAGAAATTTCATGACGAATCTCAGCAGTGAGAAGAAATTTATTTCCCAGGTGTGTGTTTTAATTAATGGCGAGCAAATCACTTAAGGAGGAAATGAATACTGTTTAAGCAAAAAGAGGGTTTTTTAGAAGGCTGAATTCAATATCTGGTAGTAGAGTTCATCTAATGTAAATTAGCATTTCAATCAGGGCTCTGGAACTCTCAAGGTGGCAAAGAAGCCTCTAATCAGTTTTTTTGGAGACTTTGTATCAAGCCCTCCACAATTAGACGACTTTGAAGTAGGCGAGATTTGGATGGTGTAACTTAATACGAACCTCTCTCCCACCCCCCCCCTCTCCCTTCGGAACCATAATCTACTAAAATTTTTGCCTGGAAGCTAATCGCAGCATAGCGAAAGCTCTCAAACATCGTGGGGGGGGGGGGGGGGGGGGGGGGTAGAGGGAAGTGGTTGATTTAATCGAACAGTTGGTTGCATACCACTCCGAACCTACTAAAAGCTATTTTTAATGATTAAATTTAATATAAATTAAAGGGAAGAAGAGGGTGATTTAAGTGACATTTGATTACATCGTGATAAGGAAGGAGCTTCCAGAAGTCATGGTGGGAAGCCAAGAGGAGTACTTGATAGAGCGAAAATCAATACTTGATGACTTATTCACCACTTCATACGGCAAAATAAGGTGATCTATTTTATGGAAGGAGTGTTGAGTAACCAAATTCCATGTCCGTTTCCTTTGCAGTAAAATGCATGCAAATGACTCACTCAATTCGAGTAGTTTGGGTGGGAGTGGATTAGGCGGCAGAAACGGTGGAAGCGGCTACGAGTTTCAAATGCCTCGCGTTCCACCCTCATCCTCGACACGTTCAAGTTTCTCTTCCTCAGGAATTGGCAGTGAAAGGGGCTCCGCGTCGTTTTTCTCCCCTCCTCCTCCCCTTCCGCCGCCAACCAGCACCACCAATCGATATCATCTTCCCCATCCCAGTCAGCACTTCTCCCACGATCAACAGGGACGATACAATAACTCAAACGTCTGTGAAACCTCCCCTAATCCCAATCAACCCAACTCTAACACCTATGATCAATTGACTGGTGTTCTAACAGGCTCTGCTGAGTGTCTGGAAGGTGGTTCAGATGATCCTTTCATTCGAGCGGAAGCTCATCAATTAATGGGCCATAATCACCATCATCATCATATTCAACATCATCCTGCAGGCCCACAGACCAACTCGCATCTCCATAACCTTTTAATGAGTGGTGTTGGAGGTGATTCGACAGTCAATTCGTCAGATATGAGCTCTGCCCAACATCATCAGCTTTCTCAACACCAATCACAACTGAGTTCTCAGGATGATATGGAGTTGCGGATTAGTTTGGAGATTGCTAATCGTGTTAAGTCAGGGGAAATGAATAGCACCATGCAACAATGGGCCGCAGCAGCGGCTTCTGCGGCGAGAACAGTTGAAAATGGCGTCTAGACTCTCGTTTGACTTTCCCTTTCTCCCCTAACTTTTTGTTCTCTACTTCCTTCCTCCTCTGACGTCATTCTACTTCTCAGGGCCATGGCGCGGCAGCAGTATATAAGCAAATTCGCTACGTTTCACTCTCCCTGCCTCTATTCAGTTCTATTGAAAAGCTGCCTCCCCCCAACTCCCTCTCCTCATCGATAGCATATACCTAATTTAGACCCACCATCTCAGGCAAATTTTGACTTCTATATATTTCCTGTGCGTGTTTGCTTGCAGTGTGAATTTGATTGATGTGTAAATACGTCTTTTTCTTGACGTCTTGAAGGTTTTAGTCCCGGGATAGGGACAGATTTCCAAATGTGACATTGTGATTGGGTACTCCTTAAAAGCGCCCCGCTAATTCCCCCTCCCCATAATCACCATGTCTTGAACTAATTCTCCAAACGATTTTAAACCTCCCCTCCAAATCCTCGGTTCTGCTACGCGTGTCTTAAATCCTTCCCCCCCCCCCACCCCACCCCCCTTTCTACCCTTCTCCTCCCCGCCGCCTCTTCCCCTTTCGCCCTCCTACCGATTATGGTTACTGATATTAAGTCCCAACTTATCTTGCCAGTCAAAGGCTCGCCTTCTCATTTTGCTAACCCATACTCCTTCTAACGCATCCTTCCAAATAACAACGAAATACCTAAGCTGAAATCCACCCCCCTCCCCCCCCCCCCCCCCCC